ACTTTTTTTTTTTTGCTGCTTTCCTTTCAAGAGGGTGGCTACCTTTATTCTTCATGGTCCAGCTGTAAGTAGAAATGTAGCCACCCTCTCTTGTTTGTGCTCAAGATGGATTAGGGCTATAGATTATGGGATTTGTAGTGTGTATAGAGCGGTACATATAACTGCAACTAAAGTGTACTGCTTGTTCCACGCCGGGTCACGGCCGGTCATTACCGGCCGTTTCCCCGCGATTAGCGGTGATCGCTGACAGAGAGCAGGGCTGCATTGTTTATACACAGCCCTGCTATCTGTCAGTTGCCTGTCAGCTCGTGACAAGCTGAAGAGGGAGAGAAGAGTTTTCTCTCTCTTGATCAGCCTGTCCCCGTCCAGCACACACCCCCGCCCCCTAGTAAAAACACCCCCTCACACAGTTAACACTAAAAATGTTAACCCCTTCCTCCCCAGTGCCATTAGTACAGTGTCAGTGGGTTTTTTTTTCACTGATCACTGTATTGGTGTCACTGGGGATGTCAGTGACCCCAAGTCAGTTCCCCCCCAGTGTCAAAATGTCCGCCGCAGTCCCGCAGTCCTGCCATAAGTCGCTGATCGCCGCCATAAGTCGCTGGTCGCCGCCATATGTCGCTGATTGCCGCCATTATTAGTATAAAAAAAAATTTAAAAATCCCAGTATCTTTCCCGCCATTTGTAAACGCTATAACTTTCATGTAAACCAATTAATTTACACGTATTGGGATTTTTTTTAGCAGAGAGACATGTCGCAGAATGCATTTTGGATGAAATTTGTGACAAAATTTGATTTTTTAATTTTTTTTACTGGACATGTTTTATAGCAAAAAGTCCAAAATATTGTTTTTTTTTTTTCTCAAAATTGTCAGCCTTTTTTTTTATAGCGCAAAAAAAAAAAACGCACAGGCGATCAAATACCACCGAAAGAAAGCTCAATTTGTGGGAAAAAAAGGATGTAAATTTAATTTGGGTGCAGTGTTGCATGACCGCGCAATTGTCAGTTAAAGTAACGCAGCGCCGTAACACAAACCTCTTCTGTAACCGCTTCCTGACCACCCTACAGCAGAAATACTGCTACAGGGCGGCATGGGTACGCAAAATCACATATATATATATATATATATATATATATACGTGATTCGCGCTCCTGTGGTTTTCACACCCCTCCCAGATAGCGTCAGATTGCCCGTCAGTACACCAGTCATCACATTTAACCCCTTGATTGCCAGGAGCACGCTCATGTACAATAAACCTCCATTGCTAGTATAGTGTCTGAACGGGTCAATATCTTTGATCAGGTCAGCACTATACCAGCGTTCACATTGTATATAGCGTCCCCAAAAACGCAGCGTTAGCGGGATCAGCCCCGGCACCTGCCAGCACCTGCATTTAGCCCCTACGCTTACCCCCCCTTCTCCCCCAGCAAGTGCAGTGTCAGTAGGTCACTGTCACTTGATACATTGCACACAAAACCGCAGTGTTCGCAGAATCAGGCCTGATCTCTGTTAGCACTTGTCAGTAAATTTTGATGACTCTCATATGCAGCAGAGTGCCAGTACTAGTGCCGCTCTACCTTTTGGTGAACTGGCGAGTACCAGCGGTCTAGTACATCCTGGTCTTTCACATACCTCCTTGATTTTTGGAGCTGTTTTTCACGGAATATCTGTATGTGTTGATTGTGGATCAAAGCAGTTTATATGCACAACAATTTATCGCCGCCAACCCAAATTCAAACCTTGCCAGACCATTCGCATGGAAACTCATTACGGTTTTCAAATTTACATTTTTTTGGGGCCTAACCCTCAACATGGGCATTACTAAAAGAAATGAATTGTGGTTGTATTGGTCCGCAGACCCGATTCATCATATGCCTGTGTTCTCTGCTGCCATGGCCAGGCATAGATATGAGAGTATAATGTGTTTTATGCATTTCAGCGACAATACACTCTGTCATCCTCGGGGTAACCCTGAATTTGACCGGCTCCACAAAATTCAGCCCCTCGCAAATCACCTTAACCTAAAATTTGCAGATGTCTATACTCCCCAGCAAAACATCTGCGTTGAGGAGTCCCTCATTAATTTTTCTGGCCGCCTTGCATTCAAACAATTTCTCCCCTGCAAGCGTGCCAGATATGGGGTCAAGATGTAGAAGACCTGTGAGAGGACAACAGGCTATACTTATAAGTTTCGGATTTACGAGGGAAAAGATAGTCACGTGGAGCCCGCCCGGATGCCCAGACTACATGGGGAGCAGTGGCAAGATAGTTTGGGACTTGGTGTCATCATTTCTCCATATGGGGTACCACTTATACGTGGACAATTTTTATTCAAGCGTGCCACTATTTAGACATTTATTCAATCTTGGAACTGGCACTTGTGGCAAAGTGTGTGACCTAATGTGTGCCCACCATTAGAAGTGGGTGGATGCAGGGCGGTATATTCTAATGGTGGGCATACCACACACTTTTTCTGGCAGAGATTTCTTCTAATTTTTTCATTCAGTCCACTGGCTGCATACAAAAAAAAAAAAGAACATAGCATATATAACCAACAAGGACCAGCGATGTACTGGTACATCACTGGATTTGGATTTGAATGGTTATACCAGGATGATGCCTACAGCTGCAGGCATCATCCTGGTATTCGTTTTTTTCAGCCGGTGATCGGCTTTCATGTAAAAGCAATCCTAGTGGCTAATTAGCTGCAAGATTGCTTTTACAAGCAGTGGGAGATGATGTCCCCCCTCCCCCGCTGCCTTCCACGGCCTTCTCGGGCAGTCCCGTGCCATCAGGGGAACCTGAGAATGCAGCCGGTGTTTCTGCCAGCTGACCATAGAGCTGATTGGAGACCAGAATGGTGCCAATCATCTCTATAGTCTAAGAATTCGGAAGCTACAAGCATTTCATCACTTCAGTTTCGCAGGATATAAACAGCGCCATTTGTAAATTGGGAAAGCATCTGATCGATCACACCGATTTTGGTTTGATTAGATAATGTAAGGGCAGAGGAGATATCTAGAGTCTGATAGACCCCAGATTTCTCAAAAAAGAAATATGACAATGCCCATTGAAGTTATAGGGGTTATTTGCATTCCCTGTTATAGCATTAAAAGTGATAAAAAAAAAAAAATGAAAGGTACAATGTAAAAATAATAAAAAAAATCAAAATAACAAAAAAAAAAAAAAAAAACTAAAAAAAAAAAAATTGCCCCTCCCATGCGCGCACACCTGTGTGCACAAGCCTTGACCCTGTGCCGTTATGTAAACAGCGGTTGCACCATGCATGTGAGGTATTGCCGTGAACGTCAGATCAAGGGCAGTAATTCTAACACTAGACCTCCTCTGTAAATCTAAAATGGTGGCTTTTAAAGGCTTTTAAAGCGCTGCCTATGGATATTAAAAATGTTTGCAGTTTGTCGCCATTGCACGGGGCATGCGCAGTTTTAAAGCATGTCATGTTTGGTATCTATTTACTTGGCATACCATTATCTTTTATATTTTACCAACAATTGGCCAATATATTGTGTTTTTGTGCATTAAAAAGTAAAAAAAGTGTATTTTTTTTTTTAAAAAAATTGCTTTTGAAAAATCGCTGCGCGAGTACTATGTGCCATAAAAAATTGTAGTACCCACCATTTTATTCACTAGGGTGTCTGCTTTAAAAAAATATATAATGTTTGGGGGTTTAAATTAATTTCCTAGCAAAAAATACAGATTTTTTTCATGTGAACAAAAAGGCTTGGTCTTCAGGTGGTTAGAAGAGTGAATGATGTGTGGCATAAACTTCTAATGCTGGGCATAAAACGCCCCCACCCCCCAAAATGACCCCTTTTTGGAAAGTAAGTAGTCACCCCAAACTATTTGCTGAGAGGAATGTTGAATCAATAGAAGAATTTATTTTTTTACCACAAATTTTTTGGAAAATGACAAAAATAAATATTTTTTTTTTTTTTTTACACAAAATTGTCAATTAAATGATTTACTGCTCACACATGCCATGGTTATATGTGGAATTACTCCCCAAAATACATTCTGCTACTTCTCCCGAGTATGGGGGTACCACATGTGAGAGACTTTTTGGCAGTCTAGCCAAGTACAGGACCCCAAAATCCAATAAGCACCTTCAGGCTTTTAAAGGGCTTTATTTCCTCATTACACTTCCAGACTACCTATCACAGTTTCGGAGGCCCTGAAATGTCAGGATAGCACCTAACCCCCCCAAATTACCCCTTTTTGGAAAGTAGACACCCCAAGGAATTTGATAAAAAGCACGGTAAGTATTTTGCAGATCTCATTTGTTGCCACAAGTTTTTGGAAAATGAAGAAAAAAAACAAAAACATATTTTTTCTATTTTTTTTCTATTTCAAAACCTTGTGAGAAAAAATGAGATCTGTAAAATACTCACCATGCCTCTTTTTAAATTCCCTGGGGTGTCTACTTTCCAGAAAGAGGCATTTGGGGGGGGGGGGGGGGCTTGGGGCTATCCTGGTATGTCAGGGCCTTCGAAACTGTGATAGGTAGTGAGGAAGTGTAATGAGGAAGTTACGCACCTTCAGGCTTTCAAAGTGGCCATTGGATTTCAGGCTCTTGTATGTGGCTAGGCTCCCAAAAAGTCTCACACATGTGGTATCCCCATACTCAGTAGAAGTAGCAGAATGTATTTTGGGGTGTAATTCCACATATACCCATGGCTTGTGTGAGAAATAAATAATTTAAATGACAACTTTGTGTAAAAAAAAAAAAAAAAAAAAAGTTTTTGTAATTTTCCAGAAACTTGTGGAAAAAAAATAAATCTTCCATGGACTCAATATACCTCTCAGCAGATAGCTTAGGGTGTCTAATTTCTGAAAAGGGGTCATTTGAGGGTGTTTGTACTATCCTGCAGCGGACATTATGACACTGGGGGGGAGCTAACTTGGTGTCACTGACACCCCAGTGACACCAATACAATGATCAATGCTAAAAAAAAAAAAGCACTGACACTGTACTAATGACAGGAAAGGGTTAATGTGAGGGGCGATCAAAGGGTTAACTGTGTGCTGGGAGTGTTTTACTAGGTGGGGGGGGGTGTTCTTCACCATAAGCACACTGATCAGGATGGCTGTACTGTGCACAGCTATCCCAAGCAGTGGGCTCGAGCTGACAGGGAGGAAGATTGTTTGTAAACAAAACAATCTTCCTCCCCGTCGGTGATTGTCGGTAATAACTGGGCGCCGAAGGATAATTACCAGCCAGGACCCGGTGATTGACATCCGCATCCACAAATGGCGGCGCTAGTAGGGCGCCCATGTGGCTCACGCGCACCCCCTACCCGGAAATGCAAAATGACGTATATACACGTGATTCTGCGCACAGGTGCCGCCCTGTAGCAGTATATCTGCTATAGGGCGGTCCTTAAGCAGTTAAACTGTCCGTGATCTGCAGTGATCAGTTAGCATAAATATTCCTTCACTGTGCCTGTGGTTATTTATTGCCCTGCTAGACATTGAGTATGCTCCAGTAGTTTGTCAGAGACATACAGTAATTCATATATCCCCTGGGCTTAGTTAGATGTACTTGCAACTGCCACTACTTAGGAGAAGTGCAGAGGAATGACTGAGGAAGAAGCTGAACACAGAAACCTTCTCAGTTCTAAGGTTTCAAAGGTTTGTGAGATTGCTATAGTTAAGCATAGTCTGCAGTTATACAGAGATTATTCTGAAGAGGATAAGAGTTGAGTCAGCATTTGGAGACAGGGTGCATTTTTGGTATCTTGATTGGTCATCCTCTCTTTTATCTGCATCTGCTCTACAGTAAATGTGTTCACTATTTTCTACAAAATGAGTGGTGTCCAATTTATGTATATCAAAACACCATACAAAAAGAACCAGTCCTTAGTAAGATGTGCCTAACATCAACAACAAAGAAAAGTGGCCTAGGACATTTGAGTGTGGACTATTTTGCAATTTAGAGATTCCTGTAACTTCAGAGTAAATAGTGTTACATTTTGAATGATATGAGGTATTCCCTGTATCTACTACCTGATGATTATGCTATGCCCAATAAAGCTGATGTCTTAACACCTTATCTCAGTAATGATTACTATTAATTAATGGTGATTGACACCATCTATTCCTTTACACTACCCTAAATCTAATCTTTTTGAAGAGTGCCTAAGAATTCTTTTCTCCAATACAGGAAATATAAACTTGATCATTTTCCCAAGCACTTGTAAGCAGGGTGCAATCCACTTTCTTCTCTGTGGATGGTGCTCGACCGGAGCAGTTCCACAGTTGGAGAAGAAGTCAGGAGAAACCTGCTTTTTTCTATGGTTTCCTGGTCCCTGATGGAAGCTCCACTTGCAACACCCCCCCAATACCATCCTGTCCCCCACTGACAGACCTCCAACATCCCCAAATACTATCCCCTCCCTAAACTGACAGACCCCCAAACTCCCCCAAATATCACCCCCACCCCAAACTCCCCCAAATATCACCCCCTACCTCCACTGACAGACCCCCAACACCCTCAATTACCACCCCTACTCCCCCCCCCATTGACAGACCAAAACCCCCAAATACCACCCCCTCCCTCCACTGACAGACCCCAAAAAATACTACCACCTCCTCCCACTGATAGACCTCCCAACCCCCCCCCCCCCAATATACCACCCCTCCCTCCACTGACAGACCCCCCCTTCATGATTTAGCTGCTGTGAAATAATGTATCCTCATGTATCACCCCGTGTATGGGGACCCGTGCCTGTGTTTGTAGTGCGGCATGTTAAGTGTTTTCATTGGCTGCAGCTCAGCGCTTGGCTATTTTTCTCTGATTCCTGCACATGCGCAGCTTTTGCTGCAGGGTTACATATTTTCACAGCATACACATCTTCATGCTACACCATCGATTGGGGATTAAAGGGGTCTGAGGCACACAGACACCCCCAAATTTGGATCTCTCAGCACAATGATCAGAAGCTGAGTGCAGCAATCATTGTGCCTTGAGAAGCTCAAATCTCCCTTTCACAGCAACTCACACTGGAGAGAGGAGAGAGGAGAGTGAGCACACATCTGCTCTTCTCCCCTCCTTGCTATGCAATGTGTATGATTTCACTTCAGGGTCACCTGCCACTATGCTAGTCAGGCCGGAATGTATTGCAATGCGATCTGCATAGCAATACATTCAGTGGAGCCCAGAGGAAACATGGGGTTTTTTTTAGAACCCAGATATCTCATTAAAGAGATCCTGTCACCTGCAAATCATCACATAGGGGACTTTTTGACTGTGATGAAAAAAAAAAATTGAGCTAGAAAAAATTGTTTGGTTTTTTTTTGCAAAAAAAATAGTTACACCCAAGCACATTAAATACCCCAAAAATGTTAAGGCTGCCCTCAATTGCGTTACACAAGTTACATATCACCACGCACGCTGGAGTGAGAGTAATATTTCTTGCTCCAGACCTCCTCCTCTGTAACACTAAACTGATGACCTATAGGGGGCTTTTGAAGCATCACCTAGAGAAAAGATAGGGTACTGAAGTTTCTTGTCATTTCACGGGCGCATCCAAATTTAGGATTTGACATGTTCGGTATCTATTTACTTGAAACCTCACTGAAACCAAAGAATGTGGGTAATTTATTGTGTTTGTTTGCCCTTAAATTCACTTTGGTGTGTTTTTTACTTTGTAGTGAAAAGGTTAAAGTTGATTTTGGTTTGCAAAAAAAAAAACTGTGGAGGTCACATGTTTTCCTCTTGAGAGGGGAGCTCCAGTCTGCAGCCAGATACACTTGGGGAAATGCAGATGTGACAGGAAATGTGTGACCTCCACTTCCTCAAGTTGTGTCCTATTGGTTGTTTGTTACATTAAAGCTCATTAAAAAAAAAAGTTGGAGTGGAGGTCGTGTGTTTCCTGTCGAGTGGAGCTCCAGTCTACAGCCATTGGTTGTTTGTTAGACCCCTCTCGAGGCAGCATTCCGGTTGGCTGTACTGCATTCAGGTGACTCCCTGGTGGCCATCTTCGATCAGAAGAGCCTTTATAAGTCTCTGCCCCAGGTTTTGGTGCATTTTTGCAAAGTGGTCAGAGTGGGGCAAGATCACCCATCTGTCAGGGAAAGCGATTAGCAGAAGGGAAAGGTCCCTGATGATTAGGGAAATGCAATCCTGCACAGAAGCCTTCCCTTGGGACCGGACAAGCCAGGCTGATTCTGCCCCTTTGGAAGATAGATGCTGTTGGTGCAACTTACTAGCTGCCTGTCTGCACTGAACTGTGAGCTTTATGCGATGTGGTGCTCTCCCACTTTGGTTGTTTGTACTTGAGCATACCCTTCAATATAAGTTTCTGAATTATCTACAACCGAGCTCTGTGTCATCACTGCTGCCACACCATGTTGCACATACTGATGTGTTACACAATCAGATACATGGGGACAAGTCCAAAGCAAGCATGGTGGGGCCTTTTTTTACTTTGCAGGTGAAGTGAATTACAGATGTATGTGCCAATTATATGTTAAGTCTAGGGTTAGCAGTATGT